AAAAAAAAAAAAAAAAAAAAAAAAAACCCCCCCCCCACTGTGTTCCCCCCCCCCCCCCCTCCCCCCCTCCCCGTGGCCCCCCCCCCCCCCCCCCGTGCTCTTGAGTGGAGCCGGAATGTCACTTTGAGGCTGTGAATTTCAGGAGTAAACACTTGAAGCAGAAAAACAGCTCAGCAGAAGTTTGGTTGTGGTCACACAAGTGACTCACATAGTGTGAAAGAGGAACAAGCTTCCATATTGTTCATCTAAGCTGCTGGTTTCTGTTTCTCACAGACAAATATGATCCTGATGACTAATTTCCCAGTAGGTTTTTGGTCTACATCTTCCTCCTGCTCAGAGAAAGGTGATTAGCCAAATCTCTGCCCCAAGGCTTACACTGTGGGAAAGAAATATTCTAACCCATTCTTTTTAGATTTTTTTTTTTTGAGACAGGGTTTCTCTGTAGCTTTGATGCCTGTCCTGGAACTAGCTCTTGTAGAGCAGGCTGGCCTCGAACTCTCAGAGATTCCCCCTGCCTCGGCCTCCCAAGTGCTGGGATTAAAGGCGGGCACCACCACTGCCTGGCTCTTTTTAGATTCCTAACCTCGCTTGTGGCTCTATACAAGAACTTCTGAGAGCTCAGGCACTAACTGAAATTCGATGCAACTCTTTGTGCAAGATGTATAAATACGCATTTTCAGGGCCTGCATCACATTTGCAGAGGGATCCTGGAGGCAACCAGGTATCCCAGCAACGTAATTCTGGAGGGGGGGGGGAGGGAGGGTACCTTTACAAGCTGCCGGGTCTTCTGGAGTTTGGGCTGCGTTTTCCCATAATGACAAAGGCATTTCTGAATTGCAGGACTCACAGAATGAACTGCCAGCCGTCTTTCCCGAACTCTCCGGGGTCTCTGGTCTTTCAGTTTCATTTTCCTTCAAGGACATAGTGCGATTCTTCTCTCCAGTCAACGATGTTTTGGAAAGGATGTTCTTGAGTGTTTCTTCCTTGGGGACCATGGAAGGTTCTGGATTTCCTGAGCTCTTTTCTAGAACTGGAGTAGTCTCTTCATTCAGGATGGCTACCTTCATGGGACCAGGGGACGAGTGTGGATTCAAAGTCATTGTTTCCTCTGGAGCCAGAAGAGCTTCTGGACCTGGGGGTTCTCCTTTGCTTGAATAAGTGGTCATCTCAAGACTTCTGGGTCGCTGCTTTCCTGAAGGCAGATACGCTTCAGCATTCTTGCTTTCTCTCCTCCCGGGGCTACTGTTGTAGAGTCCCTGCAGCCTTCCTGCAGAGCTGGCATTCCTGCGGAGCTGGGCTTTTGCCTCGCTGCCTTTGTTCCCTGGGCACTGGGTGGTGCCCGGGCCTCTTCTATAGAGCGGTGCTGCACTCTTGGCCCCTGGCTTGGTCTGTGAGTCCAGGCTCTCAGGACCCCTCTGATCCTTCCTCTTGACCTGAGACTTCCTCTGGGACCCCTTCTCTACTTCAGACTGGCTGGGTGGCAGGTTCTGTGATCCGTCAGCACTCGGCCTGGTCCCATCACCTTCCGGGATATCTGGCGCTTTCACACTCTTGGGCTTAGTGTCTCCGGAAGACTGAGCAGAACCACCAGGTCTATTTTCTTCCGTTAAATGTTCTAGAAAGACAGTCAGATAGAGGCTCAAGGCTAAGGCTGGGGAAGGAAGAGACACTCTCCCCAGAAGCTACTAAAGGGAAAAGCGCAGAACATTCTAGACAACAGCAGAACCATACACAGAACCATCAATTACACAAAACCACAAAATACAAAGTAAATAAAAGCCATCTTATTGTTTTGGGTGAATACATGACTATAGATGTGGAAGTTGATTTATAAAACAAAGAAACAAAAAAAGAGTTAGAGCAGACCAACTCAGTGAGTACAAGCTCGATGACCTGAGCTTGACCTCCAGAACCCACAGCGGGAGGGGAGAGAAGCAATTCTTTCAGGTTGTTCTTGGACCTTCATATGTGTGCCATAGCATGTTGACACTCACTTATGTATGCAGACAGACACCAATACATATACAAAATACAATTAAAATAAAAATTAATATAGGGGGCCAGAGAGAGAGATGGCTCAGCAGTTAAGAGCAATGGGGCCTCTTCTAGAGCACCCAGATGCAGTTCCCAGTATCCACATGGTGGCTCACAACAGTCAGGAATTCCAGTTCCAGGGAACGTGGTGCCCTCTTCTGGCCTTTGTGGAACCAGGCATGCAAGTAGTGCACACACACTTGCAGACAAAACACCCATGCACACAAAACTAGTGAACTACAGCAGGGACTTAGAAATGACTGATTTTCATTCACCCCTGAAGGAAATCCCAGGTCACAAAGATAAGTCCAGAAGGCACTTGAAAACAAGTTTGAATGGGTATGGTGGTGCATACCTTTAATCTCAGCACTCTGGACACAGAGGCAGGCCAGCTCTACATAGTGAGGCCCTTTCCTAAAACCATACCCCCAAAAAGAACAAAAACAAAAACAGCAAGCAAACTTGCCTGCACTTTTGTTTAAAATTACAGAAAAGGCTTAATTCCAAAGTCTACCTAATGAAGATAATCTGTATTAGCTACCTACGCTTTAATCTGAAGAAACCTTTTATTGAAAGTAAAGAATGTTTAAATATGCTTGTAAAATATGCTAACGAAGAATTCTGAACTGAAATTAGGTGGTTATTGAGATTTTCAGCTATGTTAGTATGATTGAATTTTCAGCCCTTTCTGCCCACCCAATGTTTGTCTGGGCATGTGTATTAATTGAAAAATGGAGTAAAGAATTGTCTAGGAATGGGTGGCCCACTGTTGAATATCAGTTTTTATTTTTTAAAGTCTTTAGGCACCTAGGGGAGCTTCAGCAAGAAGGCCAGGATGTGCGGGATTTACACAGCAGTGGACAGGGGCTTCCCAGCCACAAAGCTGGAAAGCTTGGGTCTGAGCATCACTTCTCTCCTCTAACAGAAGCCAGCTGGGAAGGGACTTAGCTACTTGCCTGGGCCCGTGGCTTTGCGAAGCTCCTCGGCTAGTTGACGCTGGTTGGTGGCCTTCAGTATCTGCAGGGTCAGCCTTACGGCATACTTCTCCCCATAGTAGGTGAGCAGCAGGCTGGCCAGCTTTACCGGCCTGGCCATCTGCAGAAGGCCCCGGGGGATCCGGGAGTGGCCCTTCTCCAGGCTGGTGTTCTGCAACTTGAACTTGAACTTCTCGAAGTCATAGGGCAGCAGCTCCTCCAGGGTGTTCAGCAGATGATCACCAGGGGTCTTGGCCATGGTGCTGGCCAGAATGGACTGCAGTCAGCTGCGTGGCTTCTGGCCGAAGATAAAGACCTCTTTCCTGAGACTTCAGAACAAGCAAGAAACGGCTTGTGAAATGACGGAAAAGGCACAGGAAACACCATAGGTTTTGGTGGGAACTGAAAGTCACCATGAGGGTGTGTCCAGGGTCCTTCCCGCAGCATCTTTTCTTTGAAGACGTCAGAGAATTTCAGTGGGGAGGGCTCTGCTTTGCCAGCCTATGGCCTGGTTGAACAAAAGGCAGGCTAGACTGTAAGGGCAGTTTGGGATCGGAATCCAGACATTCCAGCTGCTCTCTTGCTCTCAGGACCCTGGGCTGGTGGAAGAGGAGAGAGACGGCCTTGCTTGGAGTTGGTCCTCTCTGGCCAGCTGCTCTCTTTGGACTTTTGGGGTTTATAGACCTGCAGGGCCAACAACAGGTAAAAGAACAGATAGTAAATAATCCCTATTGGCTTTGCCTAGGTCTGTTTAAAACAAACAAACAAACAAAAAACAGAAGAAGTCCAAAGGACACTGCAATGCAGTTCCAGTCTGTCTGGTCCATGTCTAGCCTATCCAGCAGCACGAAGTCCTCATGGTGGCTTTGAGGGCCACCATTCTCATGCATCTGTTCCCACAGCTGACTTGGCACTTGTTTCCCGGGAGTCCGAGTGCCCTTTGAAATATATTTTTTAGGCACTCGTCAGGATGCTTGAGATGCAAGGCTGGAGAGACGCAGGCGTGCATCCTTTGGCACTTCCCGGTGAGCCAGGGTGAGCCTGAAAGTGGCTTCAAAGCCAAAAGAGGATGCATTGGGAGAGCCAACTTCTACTCCACTTTCCTGTTTATGTCTTTATGTACTTCCAGGCTTATGTCCTCAAACTTTTATAAAATTTCCACCTATAGAAAAGTGGAGAGATAGTACAAGGCACACTTCTGCCTTTACATAGGTCTGCTAACTGCTTCTGTCTCCAGCTTTCTGCTTCCTCCTTCACTGTTTTCTTAACCATTTGATAACCAATGAAAGGTATTATGAGCACCCTAGATATCTGTGAGGGCTCGTCTTGGTTGTCAAGCTGACATGCTTAGGAAAGGGAACCTCAGTTGGAAAAAAAAAATGGCCTCCATCAGATTGGCTTGTAGGCATGTCTGTTTAGCCTCCATCAGACTGACCTGTAGGCATGTCTGTGCAGCCTCCATCAGACTGGCCTGTAGGCATGTCTGTGCAGCTTCCATCAGATTGGCCTGTAGGCATGTCTTTGGGGAGCATTTTCTTGATTGCTGGCTGATGTAGGAATGCCCAGCCTGTTGTGTGTGATACCATTCCTAGGGAGATGGGTTTGGCATGTACAAGAAACGTAGCTGAATGTAAGCCTAGAGCAAGCCAGTGAGCGGTGCTCCTCCATGCTGCTACTCCGAGCTCTTCCTTTATTTCCTGCCTTGGCTTCCTTTGATTATGGACCGTAACCTGGAAGATGAAACAAACCCTTTCCTTCTCCAGTTGCTTTTGGTCATGACCTTTATCACAGCAATGGAAACCAAACTAGAACAATACCCTGAATACTTCTAATGATATATTACTTTTTTTGTGTATGTGTTTGTGGTGTGTGTGTGCGCGCACACATGTGTTCAGATGTATGCATGCAAAGAGGCCAGAGATTGACATTGAGTGTCTTATTGATTTCCATCTTATTTATTTATTTATTTATTTATTTATTCATTTATTCATTTATTTATTTATTTGAGACAGGGTTTCTCGCCTGAACTGGAGCTTACCAGTTCAACTAGATGGAGTGATCGGAAAAGTCTCAGGCTTCTCTGCTCCTCTGGTGCTGGGATTATACACATGTACCACCATGCCTGACGTTTTACATGGGTGCTAAAAATCTGAACTCAGGTTCTTATGGCTGTGTGGTGAGCATCAAACCCGCTGAGCCAGCCCTCCCCAACCAATAAGGTGCTATTTTAAGTAACCACAATGTGGTTTTTTCATTCAAGGTAACATCACAAAGAAAAACAAGCTCATGAAATTTCTCCATTTATCCCTTGCTTTTTCTTTTTTATTTGAGATACTGGTTTTCCCCCTTTTAATGTTTAACGTAATTTCTGTATTGGTTCTTTGGGAATGTCACATCATACATCCTAATTCTGCTTACCTCCCAGTCCCCCCCCCATATCCTCACCTCACCCCTGCAGTGTCCCCCCCAATTGTTTTTTAAAAAATCAAACCAAACCAAAACAAGCAAACAAACAAAACCCCCTCCTCCCCAATAGAACCCTTTATGTTTCTCCTTTCTGGCCTCTCCAACACCTCTTCATTCGTCCTGGTGCATTGGGAGTCTGGCTGTCACACAGTGTTTCCTTCTGGACAATCAACTTTACTAGCAAATGTTCATTGCAGTGAGTCACTGGTCTGGTTCAAGGCCTCTGTTTTCTGGTACTTCACCATAACCGGACCCTCACCAGAACTCCTTGGGATATCCCATGGCCACCCCGAGTCATGGAGATCCTACCGGTATTATTCCACAGGACCAGTCCCTCATGAGCTCCAGCAGGTCCCAGAAGCGGTCGATGCTAGTGTGGGCCAACCCAAAGCCTGGCTGTGGGCCTGGGTAGCAGCAGAGCTGGTCATTCCAGGCCACTAGGGCCACCTGCTTCAGGCAAGGGGGCAGAGCCTGATCCCCTATGCCCTTGCCAGTGGTGAGGGGTGGGACCATCTCTCCCAAGAGCAGGGGCCAGCTCTCTTGCTGCGGTGGCCCCAGTGAGAGGCAGGGCCAGCAAAGGGTGGGGCTGGCTCAGGATGGCCCTCTGATTTTTATCATGCATGGTTCCCATGGCCCATGGTTCCCTTGAGGTGACATGGCCACAGACATCAACACAGACTCCAGCTGCAGCTGGATCAGGGGCCCAGACATGGGTCAGCATGCTGGGGCTGGACGACATCCTGGCTCCGAGTAACAGCACTGGCCATGCAGATTGGGATGGTTCTGGGGGTGGCTTGGACCCCAGACACCACCAAGGCCTCAGGTTGTGGCCCCAACCCTGGCCTTCTATGTAAACTTTGGTGGCAATATGGGACTTGGACTTCAGCACAGACCCCAGCCATGGTAGACCCATAGACCCAGACATGTCCTTGGCAACAGCCAGGTCTGGATGTCACCACTGCCGAGGTTGCAGTGCAGGGACACTCAGATTGGCACAGTCCCAGGACCCTTCTGGCCCTCAGACACCAACATGGCCCCAGATCTTGGGCATACACATGGCCTTCGATGGTAGCACAAGCATTGGACATCAACACAGACCCTGGCAGCAGCAGAGCCATGGACCCAGAGATGGGTGCCCAGCTGCAGCTCTGGCCTGGGTGTCACCATGGCATTGGGTAGCAGCGCAGGCCACTTAGATTTGCATGGCCTCAGTTGTATCGTGGCCCTCAGACACCAACATGGACTCAGGTCGCGCTCAGTGGCAACAGGAGTCACATCCGTCCCCTTATACCCTGATGCTATAGGGCCACAGATCCAGACATGGCCCTCAACAGCAGCCTGGGCCCAGATGACAGGCCACCCAGATCTGTACGGTCCAGCTACAGCATGACTCCCAGACTCCAACAAGGCCACAGGTATCTGATACCAACACGGCCCCAGGTGGAGGTCCAGAGCCCTGGAGTCAATATGGCCCTGGATGGCAACAGGAGCCGCAGACAACAGCACAGACCCTGGCTGCAGTAGGGTGACTTTTTTTTTTTTATTATTTTAATTTGATTTTGGTGTTTTATTCATATAGACATTTTAAACCTAATTGGTTAATTTGCATTGATGTACATTCATTGTACATAGTAGTACTGATCACATAAGAATCACTCCATACAAAAACAAACTTTGAGCAAATTCTTCCCATATCAGCCCCTCCCCTCCTCAGTTCCTCTCCCCTTGACGGTGTTTTTCTACTTTCATGTCACATCTGTATACACGATTTCAAGTGTCTACATAAAACCTAGTAACTGTAAATGAAAAAAAAAGTTATCTTTCTGAGCCTGACTTAATTTGTTTAATATGTTCATCTCTACTTGCATCCATTTTCTGAAAATGATATATATTTTTATTTATTACTGAAAAATTCAAATATGTTAATATATATTACATTTTTCTATATTCATTCCTCAGTTTTTAAAGAATCATTTTCTAAATGTCAATCTAATCTTTTACATTCAGGCCAATACTGAATGCTTTATAATCTAAGTATTTCAACCTGATTTTTATTTCCCAAAGTAAAACTGTTTTGGTCTATCTATCTATCTATCTATCTATCTATCTATCTATCTATCATCTATCTATCTTTACAAATGTAAGCCCATATAATGACAAGGATATCTGAAAACATTTTGAGAATAAAATCATATTTTGTTGGGTGAGTTTGCATGCATTAAGAGGAGAAGATGCATGGGAATGAACCTTCTCTGTGCAACCTTTGCATGGAGGCTGAAGTCACACAGACGATCAGTTCCCTGACTAAAGATGGATGCTTTCCTTGCTCCATCAGAGTTCAAGTCCTAATCATGGAAGATGGGCATTACCAAAGGAGAGAATTCAGTCACTTCTGAATTATTTGTTGTGAGGAAAGTCATATAATGGCAGAGACAAGCACAGACATTAGCTTGGGAGTTGTTCACGGTAGCCTGTTTGGAACTTGTTAAGAGGTGAGGGTGACCTTGAACACCTGATTCCCCTGCCTCAGCACTTCCCAGTGCTGAGATTAGTGCTTGAACGTCACACCAGGCCTTTTGAGCTTTTGGTTTATGACAGGTTTTCATACAGCCCAGGCTCTCCTTGAACTTGCTATCTACCCAAGGGTAGCCTTGGGTGTCTGATCCTCCTATGCCTGCTAACTGTAGGAATTTACAAGTGGACACTGCCATGTTGGCTTTTTGATTTTCGTTGAAGGTATGGTTTCTTTTTTTTTTTTTTTTTTTCCAGTTCCAAAGTCTTTATTGTTTTAGAAAAGATGATCCATTCTGTGGAATGAAGAGTTGTGCCCAGGGATCC